AGATGTTGTTAAAATACAGATATACAGATACATACATATATATATATATATATATATATATATATATATATATATATCAGTATTTAAAACAATAAAAATCAATAAGGAAGCAATTGGGTTTTAACATGAGACAAATACTTCAATGAAATTAATGTCAAATCTGGTTTAATCTTTTGCAAAAAGATAAATGCATGCAAGTTGTTGACTATATATATTTTAAGGAACTGTAAATAAAAACAATTAAAAGTTATAAATGAATCTGAAGTATAACAATTAACATGAAAATGAATTTATGTGTCAAGGTTTGATAGATGACAAGAGTACAAAAAAAACCCCATTAAGGTTTAAACGTTTCGATTTATATAAATTAATATCATTATGTAAATTTAATCCCAAGTAATAAAACACAAACTCACAAACTTTGATTAACCAAATTATATGGCCACAGATAATTTTTATTTTATCCATTTTCTTTTTTATTTATTTATTTGTTTATTTATTTATTTTATTGACATTCTTTTTTATCATTATTATTATTGTTTAACATTAGCAATTCTCCTAGTAATATTCTGTACATGGATGTTAAGACTGAAGTGTTCCTCTTAATAAATAATACATTTTTTCGGAGTTTTTCGATGGAAGGTGAGGCAGTAGGTGTGATTTTTTTTGTTTCTTCGATATTTAGACCATAGAAAATACATTTACGTATGACAGTAACATTTAGCACAATTACCTCGGAAAATTAGATGAAATTCTTCGAACTATAAAAATAACCTATAATAATAAACATGATATGATATATTCCTGTTTAATAAATAAATAAATAAATAACATTTTCAACCCACACGGGAAAAACCCAAACAAGAAAACTCCATTAATTTTAAATATAATAGGCCTATTGGTTAAATATTACACTGTTAAAAATTTTCCTGTAAAAATACCGTCAAAATACTGGCAACCAGGGCGCAAGTACTTTACCGTATGTAAAATTACATTTATCGTTAAAAATAAATTTCTGTAAAAATACGGTAAATTACTGTTGATCGAAATACGGTAGTCAAACGTAATGTAAAATCACAGGTACCGTTATTAATTTTTTCCTGTAAAAATACCGTCAAAATACTGGCAATCAGGACGCCAGTCGTCAACCGTAATGTAGAATCACAGGACCGTTATTAATTTATTCCTGTAAAAATACCGTCAAAATACTGGCAATCAGGACGCTAGTCGTCAACCGTAATGTAGAATCACAGGACCGTTATTAATTTATTCCTGTAAAAATACCGTCCAAAATACTGCCAATCAGGACGCCAGTCGTCAACCGTAATGTAGAATCACGTTTACCGTTCATAATTTTTCCCTGTCAAAATACGAAAAATTATTGTCAATTTCAATGCCGGTCGTCAACCGTAATGTAGAATCACAGTACGGTGAATAATTAATTCCTTAATAATACGGTAAATTACTGTCAATGTTAAATGTCGTTCGTCAACCGTAATGTAAAATCACAGGTACCGTAAATAAGTAATTCCTGTAAAAATACTGTAAATTATTGTCAATATGAATTCCGGTCGTCAACCGTAACGTAGAATCACAGGTGACGTAAATAATAAGCTTGTCAACCGTTAACAATGTAGAATTACAATTTTAAATTTATTTTAAAAATAATTTCTGTAAAAATACAATAAATTACTGTCTAAATTACTTTTGCAAAAATTCCTACTACATTTTTGGTGGCAAACAAAAGTAAACAAATTAAGGAAAATTATTTATAAAGTCTATAGTTTAGACTGGTTTTTTTTAAATTGTATTTGTAACTACAATACACGCCTTTGTTGAAGAAAAACGAGCCTCAACAGATGTCTGATGTACTTTGTCTTACTTATTAACTATCATGAAAACTGCAGAACAAAATGTAGTGAAATCTTGGTTACTATAATAATCAATCATGAAGTGGTACATATTATTATGCCAATAAGAATATTTTGTAATAGTATGTCATTCCGATGTTGTATTTCTTACTGTAATATTAAATTATGAAATACAATATGAATAATCATAATAAGAGAACTTAGTTGGCTTGCTGTTACTGAGAAGATAAATAGTACATATTATTTCTAAGTTACCACACTAGTTTAATTATAATGCATAAAGTAAAACGGAATCGTTATTATCTATACAATACAATTTAGTAGAATGCAATAATCAATAGTATATTTTAAGATTATTTCACAATTCTGGATCATAACCAGCTTAATAACACTGTACAGTACTAACGGATTATTATTTAATCACTCTACTACTTAGCTTGTTTACTATCATTTGCTATCACCATATCTTAGAGACGTTGCAAAGGCAATCATAAATTCATTAGTTAGGGAAACCACACTTCTGGATAACTGTACCCAAAAAACACCTTGTCTGTAATTCCTTGTAATTAAAAATAAGATTTATTACATTTTAATCATAATTTTAACAAGTTCCAATAAGTTAGTAAATTAGCTATGCAATTGGACTATCAATGCTAGTGACTCATGGAATGCAGATACTTGTAGTTAGCTTAACATTAGGTTACATATTACAAAGAACTGCAATACACTATGTTGTACTGATTCACCCATAAAAACAATAATATCATAATTGTTGATTGAGAGCTTCTAACAAATTTTAAATACAAATCTTCATACGTAGAGTCATCAACAATATCGGACCAGCTATTTCTTTCTGACGAAGGTAGTTGTCATTCCCCTTTCTGAAAATACTTTTTAACTTGATTAGCTACCTTGTTCCAGTAGACATCATCAGGATTGTTTCCACTGTCATAGACTGAAATACTTCTGTGTCCAAGTGACTCCTTTGCTCTATAGAAATCAATATTTAAAATATTTTTAATCCACAGCACAGTACTGTACAAATAATAATTATAGAATCGCATTGCTTTAACCCCAATGCTACTACACCACACAACATCCCAAACACCATGCTAGTGGACTCATCCTATAGTTTTGATCACGCAAAGATATATATGACCACTCAATATTACATTTTTGAAAGGCAACTAGATGCACAATCAACTTACTGTATTATCCCATGTTTTCCCAAGGCAATAAATACATAAGATAATCCTAGTCATACCCTATTAAGGGCCATGTTATTTTAGCAAGCAACAAAAGGGCCTATAAAGTCAGGTTTGGCATGTTGAGCTCAAAAAGTGGCTTTTGATTTTTGGATACTATGTTAAGAGAGTGATAGACAAAACTGATAATTTATAACAAATTCATGGCAATAATTAACGTACATACCTGTAATATCTACCCAAGACAAAACAATGTACCAGATGATTATGATAAATTCAATTTGAATGTAGTCTTTTACATTTACTAATTAGAACTAGATATACAGTACAGGCCGAGATGCTGGTTAGCCTGTGCGAACAAGACTATAGACCTTTGGCAGGAAAGTATCCAATCACAAATGATCAGTGGTGAGTTAAAATGTTGTCACAAAATTGCAAAGTCTATTTATTTCAAATAAACAACACCAAAACCAGACCTAAATAGTAACAAGCCCTTATATCTGTGAGAAAATGCCAAATAAAAAACTGATAACTGCATAATAATTAAGCTATTCAGTGGAAATTGTTAAAATACTTTATTGTATAATACTCAAACAACATTCTTGTGAGTACATAAACTTGAAAATTCATTCAATAACATACTTCATTGCAACTAAACTGAACTGTTTCAATATAAATTTGACTTGTCATTGTGTTACCGTCATTTAGTTACCGGTTTGGTAACTAAATGACATATTTAATATGCTAATAACTTATTAACAAAATGAATTAGGAAATAAAATAAATGCCACTCGATAGCCCTACTAAAACTAGCTTTGTATGTAAAGTTGTATTGTTTAATCATTTATATTTTTTGTGATTTCGCATTTTGATTAATAAAAAATGAGGCAAAAGTAAATCTATACATGGATGACTTTCTGTACTACCCAGACACACAGGTAAATGCGTGTACATCAATACACGTCGCGTAGATTCATAATGAATCAATACATGAGTATCGTTACTTGTAGTTTTCGTCAAGTATACCCTTTGTGTGTCTTATAAAAATCTATTGAACAACATATCAAACAATTGTTTTCTCTTTGAGCAAATCAGAATCATTTTAGGATAGATTTCATACCGTCAAACATTTCCAACGACTCTGGTCCAACGAGTTTGCCTTCTAGTCTTGCTGGTGTGGGTAATCTTCAATAAAGTATGATTATTTAATTAGAAACACTGGTAAAGACGATTTCCTATTTGTTTATTTCATATTCAGATTAAAATTTAATAATCTACTTCAACACCTGCAATTACGTGTGAGAAACAGTGGCGGCGCCAGCGTCTGAAATCTGTGATGGGGAGGGGGGAAACATGTGAGGGGAAAGGTAAAAGTGTCAGGGGCGGATCCAGGAAGGAATGGGAGGGGGGACGTGCCTCCTCGTTAAATTTTAACAATTTCAATGTAATGCTCCTCACATATCTATTCTGAACCTGTTGTGCGCACCACCCACCCTCCCCCCTTTTTGTTAACTCTGGATCCACCCCTGAGACCGGAGATACAATTTAAGATAAGAGGAAAAAATTAACAAATTGCTGGCATTGATGGTGATAAAAGTGCACTACAGGATAAGAAAATGCCCTACGTCATAATATCAAGCGACTGATATGATTGGGTGGTGGGGGGGGGGGACATTTTCTATGGGTATTATAAGTACGTACATATGGTTCTACAAAATAACGTTTTTATCTCCAAACTTTAACGTTATTATAACGTTCTTAGAACGTATTATTGTTTGCTGGATCCCACCCTTGCCCACCGCAACGTCACCATTGATGATAAATATTTAGACGAAATCAAGAAACTTTTGTTAAAAGGTTAGGCCTACTAATATGAGTATGTTTGGCATTGCCCACTGACAAAAAACAAAACGAGCACTACCACGACATTCGCCAAAGTAAACAGCGCCCCAAAAACGACGCACATTGAGAATCTGTTGAAGAAAAAAATATATTTAATTCATCATATAATGTGACTTTTCCACAGAATGACGTATACACGGAAAGCCAGTGCGTAATCACAGCAACTCAGGAGGAAGAGGATAATAGCGTCCCATGGCCCATTTAAGGACTCTTGTATCTTTAATCTGTGAACGCAGCGCAAATCATGACGTTATCAAGTGAAAGATACAACATATGGTGTTAGCAGACTAAGCCTACTTTTAAAATCTCATTGAAAAAGTTCCATATCTCAAAATAAAAAAATATTATTTAAATTACTTAATTAAAATCGTGATTACTTCACATACAGTATGAATAGAAAACCCCCAAAACCCATCATCGAAATATACTATTGTTTCACGTAAGTTTGCATTTCGAAATAAATTAAAACCAACTGATGTAGTTTTGTAACCATGAGAGACACGATGTGTGTTGCACCAATAGATTCCCCTCTAATCGCAGATTTTCTGTTACGGATGGAACGATTCTGCATCTTCTTGATCTGGCTACTAGGCCTCCTTTAGACCTTAAGGAAACAAAATTAACAAGAGCGACTTTAACCTTTGTATCTCTTGTGGATTTTAAGACGATACGTTCCTTGACTTTTGCACATTAATTACTATTATATTCCTATAGACGGTAAATCAATAGAATTTGTCACATCCCGGGTAACTAAGAGGCATAGGCCTATGCGTCTCCTATATCTTAATATATGTCATAATGGGGTAGCAGCACCAGTACTTTTCAGTTTGCAATGAAATTAAATATAATTTACCGTATGGTCTACAATAAAAAATTAAGCCTACTTTCTTGTTATCGCATTTTATGCATTAATATCTAGGCCTTTAATCCTGTTTCCAGTTTTAGCAATACATATACTCTTCCCCAGTCCTAATTTGCAAGATAAATGTGAAATAAAATCAATTCTAAATGTATAAGAGATAGGCCTACAGCCAAGATTTTTACTTACAGTAATGATAGATAGCACGTCAGTCCATGCAATAATATTTGAATAAGGCGATATTAAACGGAGAGCACTTTTCTTTCAATGTAGGGTTGACATACCCGCAGATTTTGTAAGCAAGAATAACTTAGTGAAGTTTTACTCTAGTAATTAGATATTGAAAAAAAAAACAGTGTTAATGATTGACTTCCTGTCAAGCAATAATCCTCATCATATTAAAACTGATGTTCATCGCCTTTATATCGTCAATAATCAATCATCACCATACGTCTATAAACTCCTCAAACTACCATACCATCAATCGCGCCCCAATTTGACCATCGAATTTTGTTTTTTCTCCCAGTAACGGGGATAGATTGGTTACTTTCAAATAAGAATGTTGATTGAAACCCCATCTCTTTAAGGTAAAGGTAGGCGAATATAGGCCTACCCATAACTTGCGCAGTGTCATTGTGCGTATGGGCGTGGTCCGTGACCATCCAGCAGCCGTAAAGAGGCGCTTCATTGTAGCTACATGTTCACATCATTCCACAACGGCAGGGGCTGAAATGAACCATAACATCGGGGTAACCCCCTACTCTTCCGAAAGATGCAATAGGTTCTTTAAAGTGCACACGAGCTTCAACCACATCTCTGTTTCTGTAATAGATTCGATTACCTCTTTTACCACTGTTATATAAAATGTAACGTATACAGCGCATTGATTGGATCTGTCGATTGTATAAAGTGCTACAGTATATAATACAGTAGTGACATTATTATGACAGTTTCGAAAATGTGGACAGCTAAGCCTCCTTGAAGAGCCATGCTTTGGTCTTAAATTGAAGTGCAGGTTGGTGGTAAAGATGCTTGACTTCCAAGGCCAGGGCTCTGGATTCAAATCCTGCAAACAACATATTTCCTCACGATTCTGAATAAATCTCCCAGTCTCATAATAAGACTTAAGTTTATGTAAAGCATCTGTATGTTTGCCTTGTAAAGAGGATTGTTACAAATATATGAAACATAACATTCGCTACTGGAAATCTTTGGCCTATGTGCCTATATGCAAAGGAGGATGATAAGGCCAAATAAAATAAATTGTTTGTTTGCCCTCCTTTTAAAAAAAATGATAAATAGGGGCAGGTGGAAAAAGTTTATTTATTTATTTTTATTTATTTATTTTTTTTAAATACTCATCAGATGGAATACAAAATAACCCACAGAGGCCTTGAATGGTATCTACATCAGACAACAATTTTAGACTAATTTGTAAGGCATCTGGCAAAAAATAAAGATAAATTCACTCGCTTTTTTTTAATTTGTATAGAAAAAAGCTAAAAAAAAAAGTTTTTGTTGTTTGTTTTTCCTTCCCAACTTTCTTTCAGTGAGTTAGGGGGTAGGGGGGTTTGACCTAACAATGAGACACAATACATAAACAATTTATATCATTTTACAAATTTGCTTTTTAATCTCAAATTAAATATAATAGAAACAATATATTTTAAAGTACAAAATGTATATTGGAAATTTAACAGAATCAAAATATATTCATTTCAAAATTTATATAAGAAATTTTATACAAAATTTAAACTCTTTTAAAAAAATATGCATCCTTAAAGTATTCCAATTACTTTTGTAATTCTTACAATTATCACATCCCAGCTTAATAAGCCAATCATTAATTATTCTATGCCTGCTGAAATATAAACATCCTGAGTAATTGACTGAAATGCACTGACAGTCTTTATACTGTCTCTTATACACATCTAGATGTGTATAAGAGACAGGCATAGGCCTATGCGTCTCCTATATCTTAATATATGTCATAATGGGATTGCCTGTACGTTAATTTATAAAAGGATGCACGATTTTGAACTGGATAAACTGTTGTTAGTTCCTCAAGATTTGAAACAAATACCTACAGTACATTTTAATCAAAAACTTTCTATGCATATAAAGTATTAGTATATTTCAGTCGTCTAAAATGATGATACTCCATGTGTGTGCGCTGAACAATAAAAATCCTAGTCTCTGGTTCCAGAGGTGGAAGGTAATGAGGTACTCAATAGGAAGAGGGAAAACAACCCTGACGGTGTTAAAATATTCCCTACAAGAGCCTAAGTGGGTATGACTAGGGCCTTCCCGATCTAGAGGATGTAACTAATCCTAACACATGGAAAAGGCACTTTGAAGAGTGCATTATTTCTGTTAGAATAACATAAACAAAAAGTTGGGTTATTACCTTTGAAATATAACTTCTAACCCAAGGCTTGTCTGATAAGAAATCGAAGAGTGAGAAAGGCTGTTTACGTACAACACTAAAGCCAACCCAGTAACCGCCATTACTACTGACTCGAATGTTGTCCGGCAGTCCTGGTAAATTCTCAACAAAGCTTACAACTTGGCCCTTCATGGTTCCCTTTAGAAACAACCTAAAACACAAATAATTTTTAAAATTTTATTCTTACTTTTGTTCATTTGTTTATTCCTTGCTTAAAGACATTTTTCAATAATCTGTTTAATTATTTAATTGATTTAATAAAAAGAACAAATTACAGATATAGCCTACTGTAGCCTCACATGAACTGATTTTCATTTTCAACAGATTTAAAATTAGATAACATGAATATTAATAATAATGATAATGATAATAATAATATAAAATATTGAGATTAGATATATAATCCATTCTTTCTTCCTATTGTTTTAACTCTTCAATAACTCTTGAAAAGGGGCGTAAAAACAATGTTAATTATAAAAGTAGACTTTGTATTTGCCAAGATGGTAGTATCGAAGATGAGATTCATTTTCTTTTGTTTTGCAAGTTATATACTGATTTAAGAAAAATATATCTCCCATCATATTATATTAATTTTCCAACAAATGAAAAATTTTATCAAATTATGTCATCAAAAAACAGTAATATAATTAGAAAAGTATGTTTATTTATTTATCATGCATTTAAGAGAAAGGAAAACAAAGAAACACGGGTGTATTAATGAAATTTATTTAAAGTACGGTATTGTCACAGCACGCTTATTTAATTTGTAATAATTCTGTTTTACAAGGGGCCGGAGGCCTGGAGTTTGATGAATAAATTCCCTGTATGGGGAGCATAACTCTTCAATATATTTTCATTTAAGAGTTAAAAACACTTATAAGAAAGTATAATACATACTCCAAGTATTGAAATACACGCCATCGTGTTTGAATCCCAACACGATGGCGTGTATTTCAATACTTGGAGTATGTATTATACTTTCTTATCTGAGATTAATCAGTGGACCTTTCGGTTTTTGAAAAACACTAATTTCCTTCAAACTTACAAATTTATTCTTGCATATGTTGTTTCACAAAAAAGAAGGAAGTCTTCATTGGGAGACAATTGCACTCCATTTGGAAAAGCTAGATCATCAAGAACAACCTCGGTGCGGTCTGTACTAGGATTATACTTAAAAATCCTTCCTGTTGCAGACCCCTCAACTCCCAAGTAGGCATAATCCCGTCGGTGCCACTGGGAACTGGAGTCACTGAAGTACACCACGCCCTCAGAAGTTACATCAAGGTCATTGACAAATTGCATATGTTCCCCTATATATTGATCATTGTACTTGGAAAGATGTTGTGCAGTACCTAAGAAGAAAAATTATGAAAAATTAAAAGGAGGAAGTTAAAATTCACCAGGATATAATTAGTAATGATGCTCATGGGCATAGGCTGGGGGGGGGGGGGGGGGGCAGACGCACCTTCCCATGGCAGCAAATTAGTTCCACAATAGTGAGTTAAAATACTAAAAATTTTTATTTTCATTGGAATAGAAATTTAGTTTTGCTTTCAATTTTTGCACCCCCAGTTCTACATTCTCAATTTTTCGCACTCTCAAGATGAAACCAGCCTACGCCCCTGATGCTATTGAATATAGGAATTGGATTGTTTGTCTGTTAGTTGTTGTATATTTTGGGTCTGCGAACAGGGGAATCTGAGAACCTCACTGCTGTTCTTGTTCTTGTTATTACCAAATTTTAAAAGCATCCAGCGTCGTCAATTTTGAATGGACGTGCAAGAAATTTTGCACATAACCTAGGTTATTTCCAGCAAACGTTCATAGCCCCTACCCCTACAAAACAAGGACTTTAAATTACTGCAATTACCACTAATAGGACATGTCGCATGGATGGCGATGTGTTCTAAGGAACTAAAGGTTGTGAGTTTGAATCACATTTTGTTATTCAATTTCAAACTTTTTTTTTTCACATTTTATTCTATTTTTATTTATTATTTTTCTGATAGTGGTAGAAATTATTGACAATTATGAACTGCCGAAATGAAATTGCTGAAAACCCAATTATGCCACTGTGTACTGTACTTAAACATGGAGGATATTTCCTCCATGATTTAAGCATGTTTTGATAATGTCAAAGAAAAAACCTTGTGTGAAAGGCATACACGAAGTGTTAAACGCTGAACTTCAGTTCAACACGCGGACTGGTGAACAATCGCTCTTGTTATTCTCTGTTGAAGCATCTGAAAATGTTTATGTGTACCAAGTTGTGCACACTGACAAATAAATATATATTGTATATCTTGTATCCTCTGAAATCTCTCATACCTGAAGTTAAGTTAATCTTATACAATCCAGAATAAGCCTCTATTATATACAAGGATGATCCACTCTTGTCGAACCGTAGTCCTAGAGGGCGTCCACACAGATGTTCTATGGCTGGGATACCTGGGAAAATAGTTTTCTGAATGTTTAAATAATACTCAAGAGACAAAAGGCAATGACCTATAAAACAGGAACTGGGAAAGCAAAGAGATCAAGAAGGAATGGAAACAGAGGACAGGGTAGGGTGTTTGGAATGGAAGATCAAGTGTTGGTCACATAAGACAGTAGTAAACCAATTATTTAATGCCTTGTCCAGACTATCAAATTTTATTTGACAAAAACATTTGTGACATGCCTAAATGCGAGGTCTCACTACAAAATGAGTCTCATCGTTATAATATCAAAAAATGAGTTTATATTACATTTTGGTAGATCACATTATAAGCTTTAATTTTATCTTTGAATGGCTTCCCTAGGATAAATAGATCCAGAGATGTTAGCATTTAAAGTTTAGGTGTATGAGAACCAGGTTTTGAGAAAATCGGCCTCAAAGATAAACTAACCTGTACAAATAATAGAACTAGAATTACAGAATATGCGAAGATAGGACTAGGATTACAGAATATGCGAAGAGAACACTGTTTTAGTAGGAAAATTCACTTAGCCCTTACGCTGCCAGCTCTTTTCTTATTCAGTCAACCAGAGCGCCAGGCTGATAACATTACCTCTAATCCCCTGTGCCAGCTAATTATTTAACAAGGTCACCGTAATGCTTATTTTTGATAGTGTATATTATTTGCTCAATAATTCATAAACTATTCAGAATATTAATCAATCTAAAAACAATTAATCAGCATTAGTTGGTTTGTACATATATGCTTACTGCATTTTATTTATTATTTAGTGAATAAATGATAGGATTATTTTGTCAAGGCCTATCACAAATAGTATTGGGCTTAGGCCTATTAGCAGAGTATGTGTTTTCAAAGTCAAATTACTTGCTGATGAAAATCAAAATAACAAATCCTAGGCCTACGTATATTTACTAACATTACCATCACAGTTCAGGCCTAGATAGGCCTACACCTAGGCTAGGTCTGCCTAGCTAGGCCTAGGACCAGAACATCGTTTTTTATGTCAGTTTCTAAGTCTCCTTATTATCCAGCACAGCTGTAACAACTACAGAAGAATAAAGTTTCTCAACATTTCAAAACATCATATATTCAACTTGCAAAACTCAAACTTCTAACAAAACAACACTCAGCAAGTTTGACATCAAAATGTGCAGAAATTCATTAGCTTTCATATGCAGTAAACACTATTTGGGTTAGTGTCTGTCTCTTATACACATCTAGATGTGTATAAGAGACAGCTTCATGTGTCTTTGTTTCGGCAACTATAAGAAGGTTTCTATTTATGTTTAACTCGGTTTCAAAGACATTCCACCA